CTGTTTTGCTATATTTAAGGTTCCCCACTACACGTCGGATGTTCTCCGTGACACTAATCGTGCATTATTACGAGTGCATCCTCAGGTGTCATCGGTCCGCTGACAAATGCCCGACGCATACGCGCACATATGCGCACGCAGTCATAGTGTTTGTGAGTGACACCTACCAAACAACTTCAGCCTGCGCCTTTGATCAACTGTCTCGACAGAAAAATTTGTACTTGTAAAATCAAACAAGGGGGAACGTCCATCGACCCATTAACACTAGAACTACCGAGCACTTAAACCGTCTTTTTAAAATGTCTTTATAAAAGCTAACAGCGTAAATTTATTAAGATTTCAATCAGCTTATATTTCAGTTTAGGTATTACTTAATCAGCTTCTTTAATCATTTTTCGAAGAGATACCTTTTCAGTAATCACAAAAGAAAAAATTAAGGAGTGGGTTATTTTGACCCATTTGGTAGTACTAGTGTTAAAAATCGAATTTCTACTTAAATGTGATTACTTCGTTCTAGTAGTCTTCTTCGGAGACATTGAAACGTGTAAATGTCACAAATTTCTAATTGCTGTTACCTTCATCCCTAAACGGTTTTCATAGTGAAGAATGCATTAAGAGAGTTCGATAAAAGATTGCTCGTTCCCTCGATGGATGGGGAAAACAAATCGCCTTTAGTTGCGCTAACAACTATGAATAACAGTTTTTCCTCGTGCGCTTTTGGCGCGGCTCTGGTATCACGTGAACCGATAGTCGACATTACGGTCAACTTCATGGAAACACATGTTTTACCGCGGTATCTGCCGCGAACGATCGCTCGATTAGACGGTAGTGAAATGTTGTCGGGGAGTTATTGCTATTCAGCCAGTGATGTCGGGGAAATAGCTGTGCGTTAATGAGAAACAGCGAGCGAAAAAAAAAGAACGAAGAAGAAGAAAGAAAAAAAATAGGTAAAAATTGAGAGGCGAACGATAACGTACCCACGTCGCGGAGTAAACGTCGCGTTTAACATATTCTTCTCTCGACTGTTGCTGTAATAATGCAACATGTTCGTAATAAAGCTCCGCTCGGTAGCCGCGCGACCTTGAATTGTTGCGAACTCGATCTTCGCGGTGTTCTCGCCGATAGAAGATCATACCACGATTACTTTGGCACCTGTTCCTACGTATTCCATTATCTTTCAATCGCCGATACGCGATTTTCGATACACGTCAGGCAGGATTTGGGGGAAACGTCGTACCCGCGAGAATTGTCAGATGCTGGACAATGAAACAAAAATAAGTACAATGGAAACGAGAGTTCAAGAAAGCGGCAAACAAGTGCAATTCACGCTAAGCGATCAAACGTACATTCAAACGATTTGTTTGCTAAACCATGTCCAATTACAATTTTGCATTGTAGTTTCAATATTTGCGATCTGCGGCCCTCTCACGCTATCGATACAAGAGTAACAGAACAGTCAACAAAAGTCTCACGAAATCTCCAAGTAAAATCACACGTACAGACATGAATAATTATTCCCTAGTTTAACGGAATTAATTGATCTTTGTTCGAGATCGTTAGCTCTAACAACACAATCCGTATTTCATCTGTGTCGTTAGCCAAGATTTGACCGGTGTTCTTCGGCAAACAATGTTACTAGAACCAACAATTATATAGAATCTACAGCACGTCGGACAACTTTAAATTCATGTACAAGAGACATCAAACGAAAGGGAACATCCGTAGCGGTCCGTTTTCCTCGTGAGCACCGACAGCGTGATTCTTCGAGGGGTCGCTATCGCTTCGAAAATCGGTCTAAAGGACAAATGTCACCAGATACAGGAACGCCTGACAATTTGTCGCGGGAATCCCGAACGAAACGTCGCGAGGCCTCGACTCGGTACACCCTCGAGCAGTATTACGAGAATAGCCGCGTGTGCTCGCTGGTCGACCTACAAAAGAGCTTTATCACGTGTAGAGATGGAAGGCACGGTTGTTTTGGTTGCGTGTGGTTCTCCTACCTTTTTCTTTTCAGTGCGAACAGCACAGCGTGTGTCCCGGGTACGGCGCACACCGTCCTTCCCCGTCGGCTGCCGGCGCACGACTGTGGATAATTCGCGGTCGCGACCGGCCTAGATATATACGGGTTATTTTTAGCGACTGCCGTCACCGGGACGGGCGCCGATTGGACTGCGGTGTCGTGACCGAGCAGCCCGATTGGCCGATCTCGCGAATACGCTGCGAGTGCCTCCGGTTGCAGGCCTGGCTCACGGCTGGGCGCGACTCTGCGGGCACGACATTTGTTGACATGAAACTGTCAGAGAGAATACGCGCTCCCTTAACCCCCGATCCTTAGGTTGCATCGTGGAAAGCCGACGTCGGGTTACTCGTGACCCGCGCTGAAATTTTCTTACGTGTTTATTGCCCTGCCAACGAATCTTGTTAATGAGCTTCATCCTTTCGCGGTGTCGACGCGTCGTACATGTTACGGAGACGTCGCTGTTTACCAAACGTAGTATAACCGTGTAGATCAGGCTCGAGTTGTTCATGCGGCAACTGAAATTAATGCAAATTAAAAACGGAACCTTGTATCTAAGCTAATCGAGACAGGCACTAGAGAGTGCATTTTCGGATAATGCTTTCTATGCGGTAGCATACTTTCCTAACACTGATTTCCTAACACCGAAGAGTCGGGTCAGAAGTGACCCGGCATCGGCTGAGAAAGGGTTAACGTACCGATATTCTGCAGCGCGTTGCTTTCAGGCAACTTTACCTCTGGCTCGGATTCTGTCCCTTTCCCTCGCTTGTGGAATTGCTTGGTCGTGACGATATGGTGAAAGATGTTTGGTGCTTCTACGAACGATCCAATTGGAACGTTTCGCGGCTTAATTCTATGAGTGCGAAACTTTGGAAATGGTTGACGTTTCATTTATGCTAGCATCTATGCTTTGAAACGAAGAAAAAGAGTTTTATTAGTAAGGACTGCTTCCCGCTCAAACGTTTAAGGTTAAGATCGAGTTGCGCATGACCTATTTGACAAGCCACGGAAAGCGAACGCTGTTGTAGGGTTAATCTGCGTTTCTCGTGAGGTGTAATTTCAGTTTTGAGGAATTTCAGATGACCGTATACCCTCCCAAGGGGAGAAAACGGTATAATAATGAACGTGACATTTCACGTCGCAGAGATCCAAGAACTGGATCGAGGTTCGCTCGTATTCTTACAGGTGAACAGTAAATCGAGACTTACGCAGGGTGGGTGGGTGGATGGAATTTATGGAGAATAGAAGCGATGGTAATGGACGATTATTAACGCGGCGTGCGCTATTAATTCGCTCGAAGCTTTCGAAAAGCCTTGAAGTCGGCCGGCGTGCCTCTCTTCGGCTCTATGAAATCATAGATTTCCCGGCAGCGTTATTATGCGAAAATTACGCTCTAAAATTAGTCACAGTCCATTACCGTGTGCGTGCGGGCCAGCTTGTGGAAAGAAGCTAATTGAAACCCGTACTTTTTCGATACGTATCTCGGTATTAATGTTCGCGACGGCGATGATGATATTTATGCTAATCGTAAGCAAATCGAATAATCGTAATGGCACGGTACGACGTTCGCGTATCCGGTCGTCGAATATCCTTTCGTGTCTTAGTCACTTGTCGCATCATAGATTCATCTTCGATTGTTTACCTGTGTGTTGGTTAAACGATCGACGAACCACACCGACAGTGCCCCGATATTTCCGTGTAGCCTCGACGAAATGCCATGCTGAAATGGTTAATGACACCGGGATCGATACTTTCGATCGTCCGCGTACCGCAACCGGGTCAAAATGACATTCTTCTTCAAACATCTGAAGCATTTAGTTATCCTGCATAAGAATCTGAGTTAACATCTACTTTCGAATTACCTTCCTGAATCGTTTGACAGAAACACCAGCGACGCCTGGAAATGCGCGAGTGAATTAAAGAACAAAATGGCGACGCCCGTGGTTCAAAGTTATGTTTCGAGATAGCTTTAAATATTATAAGAGTCGAAACTCACCTCCTGATTTGAAAGATGTGATCGATTTAAATGGTCCCAGTAACAATCATGTAAGTTGTAACTTATGATATTTATGTACATTTTTCATTTATAAAACCTTGTTGCTTTCTAGGTTACCCTTAGGACTAATTTCAGAAAGAAGTTCTTAAATGAACAATGTCAGTATGAGTTAGGGTTGAAACCGGTGGAAGACTGGCAAATCTATGAATTTTTTGATATTCCAGGTATGTATGTTGACATGACAAAAAGGGAGTAAATGCATTATACATATCTTGACTTTATTATTAGGGCTTATCTTCATAAAGAATCCATTTACTAGTGATGGTCAGCGATATTGGATTATAAAATGTTTAAAAGATTACTCAAGAAAACCACATAAATTAAACTTAGATGCCCATGATGTTTTGGGTGACGGTGATGCCTGGTGGGACTTATGTGTTGCTAGCAACAAAGCTAAAGAACTATTACCAAAATTACGTTGGGCTACACTAGGATACCACCACAATTGGGACACTAAATTATATTCTGAAGCATCTAAAACAGAAATGCCTAATGAATTATCATTATTGACTTCAGTTTTAGCAAACACTTTACATTTTATGGACTTCAAAGCAGAAGCAGCAATTATTAATTATTATAGGATGAATTCAACTCTAGCAGGTCATACTGATCATTCTGAAGTGAACAGTAATGCACCTTTGTTTTCTATAAGTTTCGGTCAAACTGCAATATTTTTAATTGGAGGACACAAGCAGGATGATCCAGCTAATGCTATACTTTTAAGAAGTGGAGACATAATAGTAATGTCTGGAGAATCACGTTTGAGGTACCATGGGGTCCCAAAAATTTTATCAGCAACTACTACACCATGGGTTCAAGAAGAAAGAAGTGAAAATAAGAAGCAATATAAATGGCACCCTGATGATTGGAACAAAGCAGAAACTTATATTTCCGAGGCTAGAATAAATATGAATGTAAGACAGGTACTAAAACCTGGGCAGACATCTTTGTTATAAATTGTTGTTTAAAGTATTTTTGTACAGTTTTATTAAAAATACTTATATTAATTACAATGATCTTAAATATTCATTTTCCTTGTTATTCAAGCTGTCAATTCACATGAGCAGTAGAAGCCGCATTATAAAAGTATAATATACTTATATTTTATTGTTTAAAGTATTTTCTTCTTCCATAGTTTGATTTCTGATCTGTTTTTGAAATGTGTTAAAAACATTTAAAATATTCCATGCAACTGTAGACATTCTCAGTAAAAAATCTTGTGAATGTAATGTCCATCCTTGAGTATATCTACTTTTATAAATAATTGGAGGTGAATTACGTTCAGATAATATTAGAGGTGTGTATGGTTTAAGTAAAATACTAGTAGCCTCTTGAATTGCCTTATTAAGAATAGAGTCTTCAGGAACATCTGGTACGTGAATCATTTTCTCTTCCAAATTGAAGGCAATTCATTAAAAAGAATATCTATATATAGGTACCTATAAGATTTTTTTTGCTATTACATGCAATTTCTATTTTATACCTTATAATTAATACATACAAACTTATTTTTACACACTATTCACATTCATTTTAATCAAGATATCTTCACAGGCTTTTCTTATTATTCCTGGGCACAAGCAACTTCTACGCGCACTATGTGGATTGACAGCACACACGTCTATCCTAAATGTATTTGTCAATTTGTTGTCTCTAACGAAGAAACAACGATTTTCTTTTTTTAATTGTTCTATAAGAGAGGCTTTCATTTCTTGAAACGTAAAAGAAACTTTCTTCTTTTCTGCCATTATAAATTATTTGATCATCACATTCACTGTTTATTATTCATTTATGAAATTAATGTTAAATAGTGTATTTAGTTTTATGATATATTCGGAATTTAGTTACATAACTAGATGTACAGTATCAATTTTTTAAATATTTTGTTTTTTATTTGCGCCATTGTACTCATGAAATCATTTTATACATGTAAAATAACAAAGAAATTATTTTAATTGCACTACCGATTGTCAAAAAGTCAATAGACTATTTTCAAGGGTGAAGTATTGACAAAAGCTTATTCTTTTAAATCTCGCGCTTGTCACGCGCAATTGTATTTACCTTGACACTTCCGGTCCCGCGAGTCAGCTGATCAATCTCATTCCTGTCTGCTTGATAGTTCTCATAGCAATGTCTGGAAAAGATAAACTTCCGATTTTCCCTTCTCGGGGGTAAGTATTTCACTTATATATTGCTTAAATCCTCTTCTTTCCTTCATTGAGTACACTTTTCATTTACTCCATATGAATTTTGATTTTTGCGTCGAAGTAGCTCCGATCGTCTCATCGTTAGATGGGTGTAACCCTATCTCATTGAGTTTTAAACATCAAAACTTCATTTCTAAGTACATGATTATATTATCGTCGTATTATCATATTATTACGAATTATGACAGTGATATTTGATAATCTTCATTAAACTATCACAGTTTTTTACACATTCTATATATGTCTTTCCTTGAGTTATTATATAAATATGAATAAATTGGAACTGGGTCTTAATTTGTGTGTGTTTCTTACAGGGCACAAATGTTAATGAAATCCCGGCTGCAGGGAGCACAGAAAGGTCATGGTTTATTAAAGAAGAAAGCTGACGCATTGCAAATGCGTTTCAGATTGATTTTGGGTAAAATTATTGAGGTATATCCTGTGTTATTGGTGTTTCCATTTGCTTAACTTTTGTAGTATAATATTTATTTTTACCACTTTTTTTATTCAGACAAAAACACTTATGGGAGAAGTAATGAAAGAGGCAGCTTTCTCCTTGGCCGAAGCAAAATTTACAACTGGAGATTTCAATCAAGTAGTGCTACAGAATGTGACAAAAGCACAAATTAAAATTCGTTCTAAGAAAGATAATGTGGCTGGTGTTAATCTTCCAGTATTTGAATCATATCAAGATGGCACAGATACTTATGAATTAGCAGGATTGGCCAGAGGTGGTCAACAGTTAGCCAAGTTGAAAAAGAATTATCAAAGAGCGGTCAAGCTATTAGTAGAATTAGCATCTCTTCAGACAAGTTTTGTGACCTTGGACGAGGTTATTAAAATCACGAATCGTCGTGTTAATGCTATTGAACACGTTATCATTCCAAGAATTGAAAGAACTCTTGCTTACATCATTTCTGAGCTGGATGAATTAGAAAGAGAAGAGTTTTATCGGTTAAAGAAAATTCAGGATAAAAAGAAACAAGCAAAATCCAAGGTAACAGTTTTAGTTATAAATGTTAATCAACACTAAATTTGTTTATAAGTGTTAATAAATTTTTTAAATTCTTTTCCAGCTTGAAGCAGCTAGGGCTGAAATGTTGGCATCTGGCAATGATATGGAAGCTCCAAATATGCTTGATGAAGGAGATGATGATATTTTGTTCTAAAAACTGTACATAGCTTGTTTTCACAAACTGAAGTATTAAAAAAAAAGTATATTTTGAATCTGAATGAATGTATAAAGCGTGAATCTAGCGAAGCATGAGAACACACTTTACCCCCTACACGAAGATCCTCTGACAATACTAATTTCAGAGTACATCTGAATTACACGAGAGATTGTGATTAATGTTCCACAAAAACATTTTATGTTATCAAACTATGACAGATAACGATGGCCTCTACAGCACAGTTAACATTTATTAATTACAATGTAATATATCCTAGGCTTGATTACTGTGTTATAATTGAAAGATGTTAATATTTGCTGTGGACTACATGTTACGTGGTTTGTTAAACTCCCCATTGTGTCTAAGCACATTCAAACTGTTCGCGTTGTTAATATATTAATAAGGAAATCACGGAACGTGAACGCTTCGCGACAGGTATTATAAATGGTTATAGAATCAAATAATTTAGTAAAAATTATAAATAATAAACGTGTACATATACATTTACACCTGCGTCTATATTCTCCCCCCTACACTGTCCTCTTAGTCTCGCACCATATACTATACCTATTTCAAACATGAAAAAGAAAGGTAAATACATATGTGAAGAAATTATATTAAATACCGAATGATCTATTTAACAGCCAGTGCTGTTATCAGCATACCAAAAGTTCCTGCTAGTGACTATAGATGCTTTCTGACACGCGCGTTAAGAATAATTAAGGGCGATACATAATCATTGTAGCCGGTAAATTTCTTGAACTGGGTCAATCAATATATGGACCTTTTCCCATATGAGCCTCTCCCTACTAAGGGTGGTGCGCGCGTGGAAAATCCTTTCAGTGCGCGGAAAATTCGTGCCGTGACCACCCCAAAGATGTCGTCCGATCATTTAACGGTCGTCGAAGTCCCAGAAAATCGCTTCGATGAGGCAATCCACCACTTAAGATGGAACTTTTTCTCCGACGAGCCGCTGAACCATGCAGTGGGACTTTGCAATAAAGGGGAAAGCCAGTACGAGCTCGAGAGACATTGCCTGCTTACTTTAAAGCAGGGATACTCGAGGATGCTAGTGGATCAGGATGGGACGGTAAGTCGAATCGAAGAAAGGAAACACCGTCCTTGAATTTTCTTTTTCATTTCCCGCGCACTATTCCCCGCCTCTATCGTCCCTACGTGCTTCCCAATCAACAGGTAAAACATTTTACCGCGGACCTTGAAGATTAACTCATCACAAGACACCCTCGTTCGTAGTACTAACAATAAGCCGCACGTGGGGTAGCGATCCACCCTAAACTTTATTTCACAATAACTCGGAATCTCATTAATTTTTTTATCCAGTTTACATTCACTATCATTCTAATGATATTAGACATTCAATGCCTATATTTGCAAATTGATTAATTATTCGAATTATTTAATTGCCCCCTGAATATAATTGAATAAATGTATATTTCGAAAAGTTTTAAGAGACTAGTTTTAAGTTTTAAGTTTAAGTTTTAAGAGACTAGTTGTGCCTTCCTTTATTGTCGAACATGCGAATTGTCCCATTAGATAGCAGGCATGGCTTTGAATGGTATCTTGAAGGAGGGAGAGCGCGAGGAAGCTGAACGTCGGCTCGCCGAACTAAGTGACGAGAAATTCAAAATCATTTTCGGGCTTCTCTACAAGGTCAACGAGAAGGTCGACCTATTCGCCAAGTACAATGTCAGCGAGTTGTTCGAGTGTCGCATTCTCAGCGTTGACGAGAACTTCCGCGGGAAGGGTCTGGCGAACATTCTGATGGCGGACAGTATAGAGACCGCGAGAAAGGCTGGCTACAAGGTAACGCGTGCGGCAAAAGCCCAGTTGCCGTGATAATTCTCAAAGATGTTCCATCGTTAACTATGTGTGTAAATGTCCGTTGCATGCGTTTAGGTTCACTGAAATGTGACTTGCCACCCTAAAACGATGCCCCGTGACCTTTACCATGCCTCACTGCCACCGTATTCTAATTTTACGGCATCCACCCCCGTATTTCAGCAGTAATTTCCAATAATTCGATGTTGGTGTTGTCACACGGCGCAAGTTTCCCATCGAAAGTTGCGTTTAACACGGAAAACCGTGTTACGGAGAACTTCGGGCCAAAATGAGGATCGAGTACTCCAGAAAAGAAACGGCGGAACTCGACTGGTTTCGATCTCCCTGGTCCCCGGAGTTTCACACATTCTATTTTTGTTTCAGCATGTTCTTCGATTGTAATGCATGGGATGAATGTTCGTTTACCAAGACGTAATCGCGATGCACCCGTTGCTTTCTCGGGAGGTACTTTTGCACGCGATGTAATTCGAAGTGTATGTAAATGTTTGCGAGCGCCGAGCGCACCCCGGCTCAGAGTCCTCAATTTGCCAACGTGTTTGCAGGTGTTCAAGGCGGACGCGACCGGGATGTTCTCCCAAAAGGTGTGCTTGAAACACGGTTTCCAGGTGGAAGCGGAGATCCCTTACGCCGAGCTTGACGATTGGATCAGACCAGCTCCACCCCATCAAGCTCTGAAGCTGATGGTAAAGATACTAAATTAAACCAGGCAAACAGACGAATAGAAGGAAAAAAAGAAAAAGAAAACAAAAAAAAA